AAAGTCACCTTCCAATGCGACAACAAAATTAAAGTACCATCTGTAAAAGTATGGTCAACTTGGGACAAAGAAAGTTCACCGATATCCAAATCTAAATACATCCATCAATATATATAATATATATATATATATATATAATATATATAACACAGGGCTATTTATGCCAGGTTACATAAACTGCCAAATTATACCAAATGAATAATAATCTTCATGCACAATATTTTTATTTTTTAACCTATGAGGAATTATCATGTGTGTGTATACAATATGTATACGCTGTATATATTTGTACATTGTTTATATTGTATATAATTGTACATTGTTTATATTGTACATGCAATTGTTTGCCATTTACTGAAATAATTGACGGATAAGCAGAGAAAGTGAGCTTTCAGTGTACAATATGTAGTTGTTTACTTTCAGTTGGGACATTTTGTTGCTAACCGCTTTTTGCTAGTCCACCCACCCACACCTCGCCCCATTCATACTCTCCCTGGCTACTTCCTTGATACTTATAATGCGACTTCCTTAAATTTTGAAATTTAATCAGAAGTTAAGATCTGCAAGGATGTGTGATTTGAACGGAGAAAACAAGCCAAATATAATAAGCTTTATTCGAGGGTGTATACACATACATACATACATACACAGCCTTAACAGTTGTATGTATGTATGTATTCAGCAGCCTGTGTACGTTTGGTCAGTTCAAATCGTTCACCTCAATTCCAACTTCACCCCGCACTCACACACATACACACACTCTGCGTTAATTTGCTTAAGAGCCGCGCACTTAGTTTTGTTTTCGTCTTTTGCTTGTATTGTTGTGTTTTCACGTGGGCTCTCTTATGACGCCATTCCCCCTATCTCTCTCTCTCTCTCTCTATTTCTCGTTGTACCTCTCTGCCGCTTTGTCTAACTTAAAGCGTAGCGTCGAACAGCCGTTTTCGCTGAGCATTTTGCTAATTTTGACGCTTGACAAACTTGACAATATTCAATGCAATTGGCATAATGACGACATCTGAATACGCTTGCCAGCGTCAAAGAATTAAACTCTAAACTATTTCAAATATCATAAATAAAATATACAATAATTTTCAATTATTCAAAAGCTTAACTTAAGGACAGAAAAAAAAAACAAAGCATACTTTGTGGGGTTGAGAAAATGTCTTCTGTCAACATTTGCAGGACGTGATTAATCCCTTTTACCGCATTGTACGCATGTTTGACTTAAATTACATATGAAATTCACTTTAGCTACACTGCAACGCTTCCATTGCAGTTGCAGATTGCAGGTTGCAGGCTTCATCAAATAGCAAAAGTTGCTACTTAATTGAAGGAGCTGTGCTTCTTTTATCCAAGTCTCCGTTCTCAGTAGTTGTTGTTGGTGTAGTTTGTACGTTGTGTTTTCCTCATTTTCTTTTTATTTTTTTCTCATCAGTTATTTGCCGCCGTTGTCCTGGCAATGGCAATGGCGCTGGCAGCGGCGTCGGCGTCGGCGTCGGCGTAGTCGTCGTCGTTGTTGGCTCTCGCGAGCCTAATGCGGCGCTGTCAGGCTGTGGCTCTGGCTGTGACTGTGACTGGTCGTTGTGTGTAAGTTCGGTTGCTTGGTGGCCGTTGCGTCAGTGTCGGCGGTTCTGCTGCTGCTGCTGCTGCTGCTGCTACGACAGACGCGTCGTCGTCGCTGTCGTCGTTTCGGTTTTGCAGTTTGCTTGGCAGTTTCTCGATTGCTGTTTACCGTTTGTTTGGTCAGCGCTTGTTTCTCGCGTTTTTCGCGTTCTTCTTCTAGCCTTTCGTGTTATTTGTTATTTCTTTTTTTTTGTTTTTTTTTGTTTGTGTGTTTTTACCCAAAAAATGTGTGTTTTTTATTGCACAAAATATTAGTGCACAGCCCAATTGATGATGATATAATTGCGTGTGAAAACAATAACAAATAAATACAAGTTTATTAGTGGAAAGCAACAACGAAAAACACTGCAAGAGTGCAATAAGAATTGTGCTAAAAATGTACGCAAATAGCAAAAATATCGCAAAAGCAAGCATTTTCTTGTTGTTGCTGCTTCTTCTGTTTATTATTGCAGTTCTTCTCGTCGTCGTCGACATCTGCTATTTGGCACCTGGCAGAAAGCAGCAGCAGCAGCAGCAGCAGAACAACAAATACCCAAACCCAAAACGAATCTCCCAGCACACCCACTCCCCCCAGAGCACCCCACCCCGCAACGTCTTGCCCTTGATAACCACACACACTCGATGCTCACTCAACGCGCGCGCCACAATTTTGTTTGTCTGCTACTGCTGCTGCTGCTGCGCTGCTGCGGCGGCCTCAGAATTATTATTATTGAGCCCTCATCGATTCGCCTTGCATTATTGGCTCGTTATGTTTGCGTCTCTCGCATTTTCTCGATTTTCGTGTACTACACACGCACACACACATTGACACATGTAGTTCATTTGTTGGAAGCTAAGGCGACTTTGCCATGGTGACGCATTCGACAACGCACTCGTTAAGGGAAAGAAAACCCCCATTTTAGTAGGCAAAAAACAATGGAAAGGAGCACAATTCACGTGCGTGACTCATGCCGTTTTTAAAGTGAAAGCGTTGTTGGAGGAAGAGCAACACAACAAAAAAAAAACACACACACACAAACATATGCAAACAGGCACATAGGTGAATTGTTACATGCATACATACAAACACACACACATACAGAGTAGCCCAGCCTTGCCGGTTATTTAGTTTACATCGCATATGAGTTGACTCTCTTGAAATTTGCTGCTCTTACGCAGCAATCGAATGAAAGCGTAAGAGAGCAACTGGTGTATGTGTGTGAGTGTATAGTATAGAAGTAGTAGTGCATGTGCTTCTGTAGCCGGCGTAATTAGCGTGTCTCTCTGGATTCATTATAGATTCATTCAATGGTTGGCTGCTTACACATATCACAGAGAGAGAGAGTTGCATTGAAAACACATTACACACACACACACAAGCACATACACTGACAGTTTTTGGTAAAGATCGTTTTTGTCAATAGTCAACAAGGATCAACGTTGAAAGCTCTTGATTTGACTTTTGAGCTTAAGAACTTTGGACTTGAATGAACAGCAATTAGGAATGTTCGTTAAATTTACTGACTGCATAAAAATGTTAGCTTTACGGTCAACTTATTCTGATTGATTATATGCATCTCAGACTCCAGAGATTATTATCAGATTTCAACCAGGTGCTTGAAACAACGGAGCTTCAACAGCGAGGCCACGATCAATAAGGCGAGAGTGGCCACAATCAATAAGGCGAGAGCGATGCAGCTTTTTAGAGAGCTTTTTAAAGAGATCGAGCAAAGCTCAAAGAGAGAGAGAGAGAGAGAGAGAGAGAGAGAGAGAGAGAGAGAGGGAGAGAGAGAGCTTTGCTGTTCGCTTGCATCACAAAACTGACAATACAAAGAAGCGACATTTTTTCTGTGACCATGGGTTCTATTCCGCTTCAGGTCGCTGAAAAAGGCAATATAATTTAATTGGAAAAAACTTACGAATTTACGGGCAACTCTAAAGTAATGTAGCAGCGGTGGGAGCCAATTTTCCTACTATTTTGAAATTAGATTCCTTTTCATGCATTCTTCAAAAATGTGTTATTTAGAATTTATATAGTCTACAGTCATAAAACTGATCAAAAGTTAAACTCACTCTTTCAAAATAAAAACAATATATTTAAGGTAATCCGATTGCAATACTGTTTACTTGTGTGCATTGATGCCAATTGTTAATTAATTATTCGACAAATACCACTCAATATTTCTTGTTTCTTCACAAATATTAATATATACATATATATACATATATGTATATTTATTTATGGGGAGGTCTCTTCTCATCTCGCTTAAATGCTAACCCAACCGAATCATTTCTTTTCATTATTAATTTCTTGCAAAACTTGGAAAACTACAAAGAAAATTCAGGTAACAAAGTACTCTATTATGCTCCAGCAGAACTAGAAATAGAGCCAAGTAATAAATGAGATATGATCATATTGAGCAAAGATATCGGAAAAATGACGATATATGCTATTATTTTGAGCACAACTGTACATGTGTTGAGTCCCAGTTTCTTCATTAGTTCTCCATTTGCCTGTCCAATTTACATATCTGGCCATTTGTTGTTATTTTTGAATTCTTACTCACAAAGTGGCAAATTCAATGAGAATCAATTAACATCTCTGAATAATTATTTGGAATTGTAATCAGAGAGAATCGCGTCTCGACTATGAAAAACAAAAGAAAAATAAATAATTAAAATGAAGTCAAGTTTCCCGTTGTCACACAATTATTATTTGAACAAGAATGTGAAATATTTAAAACAGATTTCCATCTGTTTGTTTATAGTATGTAGTCATAATAATAATAATAACAATAATAATATAGTAAGCAGTTGTACAACAAGCAAGGTAGGCTAAATTAATTAATAAGTGGCAGCTACAGTGGGACCTGGTAATTTAAGAATGATTGAAATTGTTCCATATTTGAAATATCCCCAAGCACCCGAACCGCATAGCCAGTGAACACTGTATGGCTAGAGTCATTCAAACAAAATTCCCCTCTCAAGTCTAAAAGCACAAAAGTAAATCAAATCAAAAAAAAACAAAATTGATTACTTATTTATTAGCCACGCGCCGTTTGTAGCATTTAGAATCAGATGTGGGTGTTGATGTTGCACCTGTCATTTGCGGCACGCGATGCGCCAAGTGTGCCATATTCTTGACCTTCTGGTCGAGCACACATTGCTAAATATCACAACTTGTCAATGGTTAATTGATGGCCAATAGTTATTGTTGAATGCATTTTCAAATCCTGCTAAGGTGTTAATGACTATGGCGATGACGAGGCTCATTTTTGCTTTTTGCTCTAAGAATGCACTCGGCTAAAATGGAATAATGCCCAGAAATGTTCAAAAATCCCCAAAAAAAAAAATGATATTTATTTCTAGCTTTGCTTAAAATGAATATGTTTTAAAAACATTCCTCTTCAAATGCAGAAACATTTCTGTTCATCAACAATGTAAATTCGAAAGAAAATAAATAAATAATGACAAAAAATATATTTATATAAATAAAGCCAAAGATGAAGTTTGGCCAACGATCAGCTAAAGCAACTGGGTGTCAATAACAGCAACAGCGAGCGAGAGAGAGAGAGTGAGTGAGAGTGATAGAGTGAGTGAGAGAGAGAGGGATATATAAAGAGGCGGAGTCATGTCCGGCGCCAGAAAATGCAACGAGACGGAGCAAAAAAGGCGCCAACGTCCAGATACACTGGAGCTATCCGTGTTGCACACCTGTCAAATCAACATTGATGATGAGGGGCAGCTGCAACAGACTGACGCCGAGCAGACGGCAACAGGAGCAACAGGAGCAACAGGAACAGGAGCAACAGGAACAGGAGCAACAGGAGCAGGAGCAGTTGAGCGTCGCACACGTTGGTTTCATTTTGCGCGTAAATCGCGTCGCCGACGAATGCTGATCTGCGAGGAGCAACTGGAGCAGGAGCAGCAACTGCAGCAATTGCAACAACAGCAACAGCAGGTGCGCCTCGCCCAGCCGGAGACAATGAACATTGGCAATTCGACGCTGACAATCGCCACGCCACTTGCTGCACAAAACACAAGAGTTGCAGCAGCAGCAGCAACAACAACAACAACATCGAGCATTGTGGCCAATGATGATTGCTTTTATAGTGTGATGGGAGCACCAGCAGCACCAGCAGTATCACCAGCAGTAGCACCAGCAGCAGCAGCAACAGACTCAGCAGCAATCAGTCCCAGCGAAGTGGAGCTGCAGTTCAAGCAACAAGAGCAAGTGCCTGCTGCTGGCAGGCCGCGTCTCTCGATGCTGCAGCGACTGGTCAGCTGGCGACGCAGTGCACCCGAAACGCTGCTCAGCGGTCGCCACAATAGCAGCAGCAGACCCAGCTGCGAACTGGAACAGCCGCTCTCCACATCAGCATCGGCACGCAATCTGCGTCGTTTGTCGCAAATGCGACGCAGACGCAGCTCGTACTATTTCTCGGGTACAAATACATACTTATTTATTAGCACCTGTTGTTGCTCCCAGAGCTGAGACTCTTTCCCTTTGTTTCCAATGCAAATACAGCCACTACCAATACCAATACTCATACAATATTCATTGTTCTTCGTCTGTTGCAGATAATGAACGCAGAATCCGCGCCAACGATAAAGACTTTAATTCTCAATTCAAATATCACGTAAGTTAAATATCTTTACTCAATTTTTATAACATTATTATTAATTATTATTTATTACTATTATTATTATTTATTTCAAATGCTCAAACACATTTTACCAATGCCCAATTAAAAACTTGGCGCCAAATGTCGATCAAAACTTGAATTTAAATTTGAATTTGAATTTTTTTTTGCTATTATTATAATAATAAGATTATTAATCGCCAACCAATAGCAATTCAGAGTAAATAATTTTGATGCTATTTTTAATTTGAATGAGCCAAATACAAAAAAGTAACTCAGTTGTGTCTAAAATTTACAATTATCGTAAGCTCTTTTTGTTTATCGAGCCAGACAACTTTTCAATGTATTTGTGCCAAAAATCGATCGATAATTGGCTCCCCTTACAGAGATCTTATAATAATAATAATAATTCAAGTATGGAGCTGAATAATCTGATTATTTTTGCTGTTCTTCTCTGTTTTGTGTAGAACAACTACATAAAGACATCGAAGTATTCGCTATTAACATTTCTGCCGTTCAATCTGCTGGAGCAGTTTCAACGCCTGGCGAACTTCTACTTCCTCTGCCTGCTGGTGCTCCAGCTAATACCGGCGATATCCTCGCTGACGCCAGTGACGACAGCGATACCATTGATTGGTGTGCTAACGCTAACAGCCGTTAAGGATGCCTACGATGATATTGTATGTGTAGTAAATGAGTAATTTCCATCGACAAAAATGTAATCAAATCGAATAAGAAAATGTTGAATGTTTTTTATTTTTCACTTTGCAGCAACGGCATCTGTCTGACTCGCAGGTGAACAACCGGAAGTCGAAGACACTACGCAATGGCAAACTAATCGAGGCAAAGTGGTCCGAGGTGCAGGTGGGCGATGTGATACGGTTGGACAACAATCAGTTTGTGGCCGCCGATATATTGCTGCTGACGACATCGGAGCCGAATGGGCTGTGCTTCATTGAGACGGCCGAGCTGGATGGCGAGACGAACTTGAAGGCGAAACAATGCCTGACGGAGACAACGGAGCTGGGCGAGCAGCATGATCTACTCTGGGATTTCAAGGGCGAGATTATCTGTGAGCGTCCCAACAATCTGTTGAACAAATTCGATGGCACGCTCATCTGGAAGAATCAGCGTTTCGCTCTCGACAACGATAAGATCCTGCTGCGCGGCTGTGTCCTGCGCAACACACAATGGTGCTACGGCCTGGTTGTGTTTGCCGGTGTCGACACCAAACTCATGCAGAACTCGGGCAAGACACAGTTCAAGAGCACCGGCGTCGATCGCCTGCTCAACTTTATCATCATTGGGGTATATATAATTAACAAAACATTTCTCATCTATCATCATATAGATTTATATATATTTTTGATTTCATCACAATCAGATTGTGCTGTTTTTGGTGTCGATTTGTGCATTCTTTGCGGTCGGCAGCGCCATCTGGGAGGGTCTGATTGGCCAGCATTTTCAACTGTATCTGCCCTGGGAGCACATAATTCCACAAGAGATGGTCGCATCCGGTGCGACGGTGATTGGCCTGCTCGTATTCTTCTCGTACGCCATAGTCTTAAACACTGTTGTGCCAATATCCCTCTATGTTTCCGTAGAGGTGAGTCTTAATCTAATCGAATCTAATCTGTGTATACATCTCAATATGTATATATATGCTGCAGGTTATACGATTTGTTCAATCGTTCCTCATCAACTGGGATGAGGAGATGTACTATGCACGCACCCAAACATATGCCAAAGCACGCACCACAACGCTCAACGAGGAGCTCGGCCAGATCCAGTACATCTTCTCGGACAAGACGGGCACCCTCACCCAAAACATAATGACATTCAACAAGTGCAGCATCAATGGACGCACTTACGGCGATGTCATTGATATGCGCACCGGCGAGCCCATCCAAATATCTGAGGTGAGCAATCATCAATCATCATTTTTTATCTCTATTTATATATATATATATATGTTGTATACATATGTCTGGGTCCGGTGGTATCGATGCTTATAAGAGGTTGCTCAGTTTTTGGTTTCGGTTTGTTGAACTACATTTTAAGTGATTCTTGGTTGTTGGTCCTTGGTGTGTGTAGCTCTTCATCTGTCTAACTGTGTGTGTGTGTGTGTGTGAGTGGGTGTGTGTGTGGGTGTGTGTATGTGTGTGTGTGTGGGAGTATTGTGTGTGCACTTGGGCATTCAACAGAAATGTTTACAAGCGCTTAAACCACAATTCACTGCACAATTGTTGGCTTTCGGCAATTGAAAGTTAACACTAAATGAACCTTTAGGAATACAGTTGCTTTTTACTTGCATTTAATACAGTTTATTTTGGTGTAAATCGTCTGATTCATTATTCATCCAAAGATTAAATAATTGGTTGAATATATAATTTTTTTATTTGTTTAAACACACTTGTTTTAAGCATATTTATGCTTAAACAGCATCTTCAATTCTCTGTAAATATTTAAGTGATGCGAATTTCTTATAAATATTTTCTAAATTCGACATCTTTTTCAAAATTACGCCCTGAACAGAAAATGTAGTTGCACCGTGTAAAGTTAATGGCAAAAATAAAGATAAAGATAAAGATAAAATTATAGGTAAATCAGTCAGAATTGCTAAGGAAAGAAAATTTTCCTTGTTTATTACAAACAATTTGTAAATATAATAAAGCATTTTTCTACAAATTAGATTGGTTTGCCCTCAAATATGTTTTTATTATTGTTTTTTAACGAAATATTGTCTATTATTATTAAGAAATGCATTTTTGCTTCTTAGAAGAAATCCTTTCTGAAACTCAGCAAATTGTACCGAAATTTGTTAGGGTTTAGCAAAATTGAACAATAATCGCCATCACAATTGCAAGCAAAATTAGTTGCAACTGTTGCATGCAAAATTAGCAGCATCAGCAGCGGCAACAACAACAAAATTAGTAGCACAACAGCAGCAAAAACAATAGCAATTTTTAAATATTGTGTGTCTATATTTAATTGTGCGCCCAGCAAAACAATCTCACATTACTCGTTATAGCAGCAATCAATTTTCAAAACTAGCAACATCAGCAGCAGCAACAGCAGCAGCAGCAACAACAGATGCAACAAAACGATAGCAGCAACGCCCAGATCAGCGCCGACAATACTGGTGCATGCCGCTGAGGTGCATGCGACAAAGAAGAAGATGAAGAGTACAGTGCTGGTGACAAGCACCGGTGGCACCCAATTGGCCAACCGGCCGGAGCAGCTGCAGGGCTGCATTGCCGGCGAACTGATGTCGCCGGCGGTGAGCAGCGTAGCGAATCCGTTGGCACAGAAACAGGTGCACTATTTGCTGCCTCACAGCAGCGATTATGAATTGCACGATCCGGGCTGTGGCAGTGGCATTGGCAGTGGCAGTGGCAGTGGCAGTGGCAGTGACCGGGATACGGACAGTGGCAGTGTCGGTGTCGGTGACAGTAACAGATTGGGCGCTTGCTTAACGCGCAGCGGCCAGCGGATGCGGCGTCAATTGTCCGGTCTGTCCACAAGCAACAGCAGCAACAAAGTAATAATCTTGCATGACATTCAACAACAACAACACAACCCAAAACAGCAACACGACAAAAGCAACAATCGCTCACAAGATCATCGGCATCATCAGCATCAGAATCAGCTAACAAATCATCGCCAGCAGCTTCAATTCAATTCAGAAACATCCTCATTTCAAACACAATTTGAGCAAGTCAAAATCAACAGCGGCTGCTGTGCCCCATTTCGCCAGCAGCAGCAGCAACAAAACAACAACAACAATGGGAGACAATCCGGCGCAACTGCAGCAACAGCAACATCTTCAGGCAACAGCAACAGCAACAGCAGCAGCAGCAACGAAAACAGCGCACATCAGCACCGTTATTTAAGCACCCACCGCTTTGCCACAAATTGGAGTTCGTCACACCAAAAAGTGCACGTATGCATGTCGACCAATTGTTCTCCCTGCCCACCCACTCCTGCCACTATCTATAACTACTGCTTTCAATGTCTACCCCTTTGTGTGTGTGTGTGTGTGTGTTACAATCGATCAGCCGATCACAGTTTTATTGACTGCTTTTTTGTTTGCCAATAATATTGCCAAGTTGAACTGCGCTCAAATCATATTTAACTCTAACCAACTCGCATAGAACGAACATAATATTGACATATTTACATTTGTAATCATCAGCTTTACTAAATCAAATCTAACCAAACCCAAAGTATATATAAATATATATGTTTTTATATGAATGAATGAGCTAATAACAAATAACGCATCGTTTAATAGATCTATTTTATATCCTGTAAGCTAAATATTTAAAGTATCTAAATTGGATGGCTGCTAAATTGGAAGTGCTTCAATTAGACAATTATACAATTATGCAAATCCAAACTGCTTCCAGTACAACATTGAACATGAATTAAACAAACCAATTATTTGTGGCATCTCCATCAGATGCAGACCAATAATGATAATGATTCGATATTGGGCACATTTCAGGTACTCGAACCGATCGACTTCTCGGCCAATCCGCACTATGAAACTGACTTTCGCTGGTACGATCGCACACTGCTGGATGCAGTGCGTTCGGATGAGCGGCATGCCCAGAACTTCTTTCGCCTACTGGCCCTCTGCCATACGGTTATGGCGGAGACTGTCGACGGCCGGCTGGAGTACCAGGCGCAGAGTCCCGACGAGGCTGCCCTCGTCTCAGCCGCCCGCAACTTTGGCTTTGTGTTCCGCTCACGCACACCAAATAGTATTACCATCGAAGTGATGGGCAGCCTGGAGGTAAGCATTTTTCTCAATTGTCCAAAACATGTTCTGTTGGTGTATTTAGTTTATATGGTAGGTGATCAACAAAACAAATGTTGTGGATTCGTTCGACCACTAAATGTTCATCCATATCGCTGGGCAATGGTCAATTCAAATGTTCTCTTCTAGATTATAAACTTTATTTATTTTATTTATATTTTGCACTCCGACAGGAGTACGAGCTGCTGCACATACTCGATTTCAACAATGTGCGCAAACGCATGTCCGTCATCCTGCGGCGCTCCGAATCCGTGGTGCTCTACTGCAAGGGTGCGGATAACGTGATATACGATCGCCTGCACGGCGGTCAGGAAGATATGAAGGCGCGCACCCAGGACCACCTGAATGTAAGTTACAAGTTACAAGTTGTATCCACTCAGCAAAAAAGAAATCACCCCAAGAATAAGAACATATTCCTTGGTTCTGGAAATCATTTCTAAGGATGAGAAAACATTTTTCTCAAAATTAGATTGGCTTGGCCTAGAAAGTAGAAGTACAAATCCTGATGACAATAAAAACACTTGTTTCTTTCAATTTATAATTTCAATTTATTGGAATATAATATATAGATTTTAAGTATAATGCTTAAAAATTAGTTCCCTTGTCACCAAGACAGTTGGCCTAGTTTACCAGCAAACTCTGGACATTCCCGAGGCCGTGGCCGTGGACGTACAATGTTTGTTGTCTATCAAAATGCAGTAGTCGAGTGAGCTCGACTACGATTTACCCTGTTGATCCTGATCAAGAATATATACACTTTATGGGGTCGGAGATGCTTAAACACATAGGAAACAACACTTGGGGAAACAAGACGTATTCTTTTTTTTTAAGAAATCTTCAATTTTAGACAGTTAATTTCTGAATAATAAAGTGAGGAACCCTTGGCGCCAAAGATTATGACAAATTTCTATCTTGAGTGTGATTTATTTTTGATTGTCTGAGTTGAGTAAATGTTGTCATAATAATTAATTATGCGCGATGGTTATTCGCTGCAGAAATTTGCCGGCGAGGGTCTACGGACTCTGGTGCTGGCGGAACGTCAGCTGAGCAAGGACTACTACAACGACTGGCGATTGCGACATCAGGAAGCTTCTCTGTCGATGGATTCGCGCGAACAGAAGCTGAATGCCATCTACGAGGAGATTGAGAGCGACATGGATCTGCTGGGTGTGACAGCCATCGAAGATAAACTGCAGGATGGTGTGCCCAAATCGATATCCAATCTGCAGAATGCTGGCATCAAGATCTGGGTGCTAACTGGCGACAAACAGGGTGGATAATCTAGAAAAAAAAACCCAACTAAAGCCATTTCCAATTCATCAGTATTTTACACAACATTCCAGAAACTGCCATCAACATTGGCTACTCCTGCCAGCTGCTAACGGACGAACTGGTGGATGTCTTCATTGTGGATGGTAGCTCGGTGGAGGAGGTGGAGAAGCAACTGCGTCAATTCAAGGAGTCCATCAAGATATTCGATCGCTTTCGGCCGGGCGGTGAGTGCCATCCACATACCATTCATATATAGTATATTCCATTCAAAACTCAATCATTTTGACTTGCAGGCATCGATAATTATAATGGTGAGAGTGGCATGGATCCCTTGAGCGTGACGATGACGCAGACATCCGCCTTTATGCAGGATTCGAACGGTTCAATTATATCACAGCCACCGCCAGCCATATCGGTGGTTACCTTTAGGTGGGATGCGAAAATTAAGGATAATAAGGGCGGACCGGACAGGTAGAGGGCACTCCAAAAGCAACTATTTCCAAAGCTTCTCTCGAGCAAAACCAAAATTCCAAAATCAAAATACAAAAAAAGATCAACTAAATAATTAAGATTCTAGATGCAGTGAAGCTAAACTAGAAATGACACCAAAGCGCAGCTAGAAAAACACCCTGTATTTTCCGCTAACTATGAATGTATCTTTCTTTCTGTCTCTCTCTCTCTCTCACTATCTCTATCTCTTTATTTTTATTTATGTTGTTTTTTAATCGAATTTTCGTTTTTGACTTACCAATTTACGTTAGCGGCGATCTCTATCGATTCTTAGCAGTATTCGAGACGCTCAGAGCAACATATGTTAGCTAAACATGCATTTATATATTTTATTCAATTATTATTATTATATTTTTGTTTGCTTAGACGTAGCATATTGCTGTGTATTAGCTGAAAGAAAACAAACCCAAACGAATATAGAAAAAACATATACAAAACCAATCATAATTTAATGAATCTTTTAGTGTTCGCAAGGATGTAACCCTCTATTGGTACTTGTTCCGCCCGTCAAGTAAACGAACGAAAATATCATAAAACTCAATACTCAATACTCAAAACTCAAAACTCAACAAAAATACAAATTGTTTTTCGTTACCCTCATAGATTTAATAACTAAATGTGCATTGTTTAAGTATTGCTAGTTTTGTCATCCCAATCATTATTAATTTGTTGTACAAGAAAATGCGAACAAAACCAAATTTGACAAGTTGACAATCGCACAAATCTCATCGTTTCCAATACTCAAATACTGATATTGTTCAAGTTCTCGTTCTTGTATTTATTTTAAAACAGTACCAAGATCGTATATACATATATATATATATTTATATATATATATATATATATATATATACATATATATATACATGAATATATACATAAATATATATGTGTGTGTAGTTTACCGAATGCATTCATATTCATTTCAATTAATGCTTATTCATAGCCACTTATCAACAAATATATTGAGAGAATTAGAGAAGTGTAGTGCGCTCTCCCTCTTTTTCTCTTTCTCTCTCTCTCTCTCTTTTTCTCTGTTCTGTCATGCTCTCTGTCTAACTTAATGTAATATTAACAAATAACCCGCTCTCTGTCACTGTCTCTGTTTCTGTGTATTTGCTTTTCGCTCTCACTGTTAATTGTTGTTCATTGCGTAGCCATCGATTTGATATGTTGTTCGATATTCATTCAATATAATCATCAATTTTTTTTCGTTCCACGTAAACACTCACACCCAAATTAGCATCCATTGAAGGCTTTCAACTAATTTATACTGTCTCTCTCCCGCACACACACACACAGCGCCGAATGTCAAAATATCTTTGGCGATGGCAGGAAGAGCGTGGACGGAAGACAAACTCCAGCTGCATCTGAAGTGGACGAGTCGACGGGCTTCGCCTTGGTCGTCAATGGCCACTCACTGGTCCACTGTTTGTCACCGGAGCTGGAGACGAAGTGAGTAAACAATAGGCGTGACTAGCTAGGACTATCTGACTATCGCCTGCTCATTTCGCACTTTTCACTTATCATTGTTGTCGTCGCTTTCAGATTCTTGGACATTGCCTCAAATTGCAAGGCGGTGATCTGCTGTCGTGTGACACCGCTACAAAAGGCGCTGGTCGTCGAACTAATCAAGCGTGCCAAAAATGCCGTCACTCTGGCCATTGGCGATGGCGCCAACGATGTCTCCATGATCAAGGGTAAGCATCACGGCGCAATTATATTTGATCTGTATTTGATCCACATGAACGGCATTCTGTGAACAGCCGCTCACATCGGTGTTGGCATATCGGGACAGGAGGGTCTGCAGGCGGTGCTATCCAGCGACTATGCGATCGCCCAATTTTGCTATCTGGAGCGTCTATTGCTGGTGCATGGTCGCTGGTCCTACTATCGCATGTGCAAGTTTCTGCGCTATTTCTTCTACAAGAACTTTGCATTTACGCTCTGCCACTGCTGGTATTCCCTCTTCTGTGGCTTTAGTGCACAGGTGAGTTAATCCGTTCAGGCAAAATGTTTGAAAATCGCGCTAAAAAATGCTCAAAATATATATATAAAAAAAAAACATTTTTCTACAAATTAGAAAAGCTTTCCCAAAATCGACAATCCCCAGAAAATATGATGATTTTTTAAAATTTTTATAAATATATTCTACTATTAAGAAATGCATTTCTAAAATGTTCAATTGCAAAGTTTAATTCTTTCTGAAATTCAGATCGCAAATCGTATTGTAATTATAAAGTATCTAATTTATCGAATTTATAAACTATCTGAAATATTTGTATATGTCAAATCTTAAAATACTAATGCTTATTAATAATTTTTGAGTTCTTCAATACATATGTGAATAAACAGCCTCGAAAATAGACAAATTTTGTATAAATTTTGGAAAATTGTACACTGCAATTAAGAAAAGAAAAACCCTGATTTTGTTAAATATACACGTTGAGTAATAAGCTGAAAAGTAGGGCGAATTTTGTAAATTTAAGTCAATTTCTTCTGGCTGTATAATACGGGAAAGCTTTATGCTAATTAGCTGATCAGCAAATCAATCCTTGCCAGATCGAAATGGCATTTCATAGATCAGATGACTTTGTTCAGTTCTTTTCAATCAAATATAGCACAAGTTGAAGAAACAATTACACATTTTCGGGTATTAATATTCATATTTCATTTATTGACTGGCATCTATCATATATTCTTGCATATTTAGACAGTGTTCGATCCCATGTTCATATCGGTGTACAATCTGTTCTACACATCGCTGCCGGTGCTGGCACTGGGCGTCTTTGAGCAGGATGTTTCGGATAAGGATAGCGTCGAATATCCGATCCTCTATACGCCGGGCCTGAAGAGTGAGCTCTTCAACATACGCGAGTTTATCTACAGCGTGCTTCATGGGGCCTTCACATCGCTCATACTGTTCCTTATACCGTATGGCGTCTATAAGGATGGCGTCTCGCACAACGGTTACATAGTGAGTGATCATATGACCTTGGGCGCTGTCGTCGCCACCATACTGATCGTGGACAATACGGCCCAGGTGAGCCATCCATATAATAATGGATGAGTGTGTGTGTGTGTAGTCTTAACTACGTTCAATCTTTTAGATTGCGCTGTACACCTCGTATTGGACTATTGTCAATCATATTACCATTTGGGGCAGCCTCATTTGGTACTTTGTGCTGGACTATTTCTACAATTATGTCATTGGCGGCCCCTATGTGGGCTCTCTGACGCAGGCCATCAAGGATGTAACATTTTGGGTGACTATGATAATCACTGTCGTCATGCTGATGGCTCCCGTGCTCGCCTACAAGTTCTATCTGGTGGACGTGCATCCCAGCTTGTCGGACAAGGTGAGCAGCTCCTTTTCTGATTCTCATTGTGATTCTGATTCTGATTCAGCCATATTTATATATGTCCCTCGCACAGATACGCCAGAAGTCGCTGAAGAAGATGCAATCGCGCGTCTCCAGCGATGTGCGTCGCACGCCATCCTCGCGACGTGGACGACGCTCGGTGCGCTCGGGCTACGCCTTTGCCCATCAGGTGGGTGTGGCTTGCATTAGATGAATGGATTAACTAGCATGGACTTACACTCTGGTTTTATTTGATTTTGGTATTTCGCAGGAGGGCTTTGGCAGGCTAATCACATCGGGCAAAATAATGCACAAGCAGCCGAAGGACTTTGCCTTTCCACTGGGCCTGGGCACCAAGAAGACGCAGGCGCTGCACAACAATCTGGTTGCTGGTGGCTCCGTTGGTGGCGTGATCGGCAAGCAGATGCAGACGTCCAACGGTCACACTCACATCATCCCACACAGCGGCAACAACAATAATTATAACAACAACAACAACGACAACACCAACACAAATCAGCGACACAATCACATCAATCAAATACATTCATCAATGGCGGACATTAGGAGCGATGGCTATGCTAGCGTCGATATGCAAAAGAGCAACGGCGGCAGCGATGATCTAAGTCCACGGGCTCCCTGCCAGGATCTGGACACAATTAATCTTTAGGCAACAGCAACAACGTCTAGCAGCAGCAGCAGCAGCAGCAGCAACAACAAATCAAACACCAAAAACATAAAAATCGATTTTAAGGGTAGACATACTTAAAAAAACAAAAACAAAAAATAGCCACAAACAAATGTATTAGCCTTAGCAACCATACTTAGAGTGCAAGTGCATGGGTCCCTGAGTGTGGGTGTGTGTGTGTATGTGTGTGTCTGTGTGTGTGTGTGTGTGTGACACCTTTTTATTGTTTATTCATATATATATATCGATCGCTAAGGAGTCTATTTATTTACCTCAACTCTAAAGAACAGGTCAACGTAACCAAAAACACCCCTTAATTATTTATTACACTTAGTGGCATTTTGATTTATGTGATTTAGTTTATACGTTTTTTCTTTTCGTTTTATTTTTAAGTATCCGCGTTGCATTAGTATTGTAGGATATATATTATTGTGGAGGGTACTAATTGAGCTGTGACTTAAGCAAATAGTAACCATTCCTCTATATCTAAACACATCACTGGACACCCAATGCACCCAATCGAATCGAATTCGCATTGTTTGTGAAAGGTATTCACCGATTCGATTCGTTCCCTTTATCTCTATCTCTCTCCACCGCTCTCTGTCTCGCTCCCATACACTTGTTTTCTCTGTCTCTTTCGAATGTGTGAATGTTTGATGCATGATGTAGTTTAAGATTAATAACTAAACAGAACCATTGAGAAACTGAAAGTGTACTTACATAATTGTTAAATGTTGTGCTGTGTCTTATATAAGAAGCGTAATAAGAGAAACTAATCGTAAACCGAACCAGGCCAATTCAACTAACCAATTAGGGTACTTCTAGCGGTACTTGCGAAGCAAACTGTAATCACTAGTTATATATATATATAATTGAAAGTCGGACAACGGTTTAGAAAAAAATATAATTTTATTGAAAACACAATTTCTTACTTTTGAGTACAAAATGTGACAGACTTATTTTCTGAATGCGCTGCTTCATGTGGATATTCTTCTCGTCGTCCAGCGTGGGAACTGCTGAGTCGACAAATGCAGCGTGATCGTAACTTCTTCACTCAGTTGCACGTTTTTCGGTTGGCAACTGGACTATTATTATTCGCAGCGTCAGCTATTTTGCTTGCAGCTGGCTACGGGTGATGGGGCATATGTGAGTGTTTGTTTGTTTATGTCTGGCTTGTGTGTGCGTGTGTGTGGACATGAGAGATCCATGTGATCTGAATATGTCATATGCCCCATCCTTTAGAAATTGGCTTGTCCTCAAGCGTTCAGTGTAGGATATATTCTTAAGTCGTTGGCTGTTTTGTGAAACCGCTCTACGTCTGATATGCCGTTCTTACTTGTTGTGATTTTAATTTTTACGTTTTCTGAATCTAACCAAATTTTTAATGCTGCACTCATGAATGATGAATCTTTGTCTGCTTTTATTTCTAATGGTTTTCCCATTTCGTTGAATATTATTAATAATGCTTTTTTTGCTTCTAACCAATCTTTACCATTTATTTCTATTAACGTAGCGTATTTTGAGTATACGTCTATGCATGATAAAAATTGCTTATTATTGATCATATAAAAATCTATAACGTATTTTTCTCTAGGGTTGAAAACCTCAGGTGTTATTTCATAACTAAATTTTGTGTCCCTGTGTTCCACTTTTGATATATTACAGATTTCGCATTCGTTAATTATGTTTTGTATTAGTTTTTGGTAATCTGGGAAATAATATTTTTCTTTAAACATTACTGTAGTTTTTTCTATTCCTGGATGTAAAAATTTTATATGGTCGTTTAATATGGTTTGTTTCAATTCTGAATAAGTTTGAATATCTTCTAATTTTTTTGTGGTTCTCATAGTTTTTATCGGACAATCTCTTTGTATTATTTCTAAATAAGCTTTTTGGAATATTGCGTAGTCACCTTCGTGTGGGAAGTATATAACGCTGTTTTTTGCACAAAGATATTCTTTTATGATCTCTTTTGCTTTTTCAGTGGTCATTTCTATGTAATTTATTATAATCTTTATTTTGTGAATATAGCTTATTTTCTTTATTTCTTCGGTATTTCCTTTTATAAATTCTATTTGATGGTTATAATTATTTAATGGTCTTTCTGTGGTTTGAATACAATTTTGATTATCTTCGTTTGCGCTATGTATTGTCGCTGCTATGCTATCTTGAGCATTCCCCATGAAATTTTCTTCTACGTTATTTTCTTCTGTTTTAATTCTTGGAAGTGCATCAGCTACGTAGTTTTCTTTGCATCTCCCTCTAACTGCATTTGGATCGCGCTGTACATAATCAGTTTTTGTCTTGCGTCCACGCTTGGGAAGAGTTCCATAATAAAATCGATCCTTCCAATAAAGGCTCCTAGCTCGTCCGTTTCTCCATTGAAGATTGGCACTTGGCGGATTTGCCCGAGTGCTTGGTTTAATTGTGCCTCCAACATCATTTTTTTTGTTTTGAAAGTTTGTTTGAGAAAAAAAAATTCTTTGTCGTCTGTCTCGCGTTTTTGTTTACTTTTTAGAAAAAAGTTTTTTAAGGATCACGGGGTCCTTATGCGGATAACAGTTTTTATCGCGGAACACTAGTACGTTTTCCTGTTTTACGAAAGGACCACGACGTTTCACGAAAAAATTAATGACATCCTACCGGCTGCGCCAATTGAAAGTCGGACAACGGTTTAGAAAAAAAATATAATTTTATTGAAAACACGACTTCTTACTTTTGAGTACAAAATGTGACTGACTTAATTACTGAATGCGCTGCTTCATGTGGATATTCTTCTCGTCGTCCAGCGTGGGAACTGCTGAGTCGACAAATGCAGCGTGATCGTAACTTCTTCACTCAGTTGCGCGTTTTTCGGTTGGCAACTGAACTATTATTATTCGCAGCGTCAGCTATTTTGCTTGCAGCTGGCTACGGGTGCATATGTGAGTGTTTGTTTGTTTATGTCTGGCTTGTGTGTGCGTGTGTGTGGACGTGAGAGATCCATGTGATCTGAATATGTCACTATATATATATAATACACATACTTACTCTTAGTTGATACACACACCCACCCGCACACATCCACCCACACACACCCACCCACACACACACAGACACTCAGTCACACACACACAGTCGTAAGCAACGCCCACAGTTATGTGTTCCTAACTACATCTAGACATGTAGTAGATGCTATGTACTAAAAATGTAGCAGTGCGGTCCCCCTAGCTATAAGCATTATTATAAAAAAAAAAAAAAAAAGTAGAAGACATACAGTAATTTGTATATCGTAAGGTGAATGGATATGCGATATGGGTACAGTATTCGGATTATGTACGTACGGCATAGAATTATTACTAAATACCAAGCGGGCTGTGGGTTAGCAAACGGGGCAAACAAAAAACAAAGGATGCGATTGGAAAGCAACGCAACCAAGTATAAAAGTATAAATTATCGTAGGTGTTTTTATGCAGTGTATGACGAATCAACGAATCAACTTTAAGCTAAATTTACTAATAGGTCAAAACGACGCCCCCTTTTGTAGGCGCTGATAAATTTGGGGCATATTTTTGCATGTTATTGAAATTAGTTGGTATCAAATCAAATGTGAGAATGAAAATCGAGGAAATGTTTTTTTTTTTTGTAATTCTACAAACTTAGACAATTACGGGATTATGCTAAGCGAATTTTAAATGATCAATAAATGCGAAATATTTTGAAAAAAAAACATATATACCGACTTTTTTTATAGGTGATTGTGGGCATAAAAAGTCCTTCAAACTGTTGAAATAAATACCTTCAAAACAGAGCATCGCTCATAACTCAACTACTAACTAGCCAAAGGAATTACTGTGAGCTCAACGTGCTGAATGATGCAAGACGTTTTATGCAACACTTTTTACTATAAATGATTGTGTTGCATAATCATCGGCTGCCAGTTGCAACAAATGCAATTCGGAGCCACTTGTCATATACACTTAACTATGTACAATGTTTGTTGTCTATCAAAATGCAGTAGTCGAGTGAGCTCGACTACGATTTACCCTGTTGATCCTGATCAAGAATATATACACTTTATGGGGTCGGAGATGCTTAAAAACATAGGAAACAGAAGAAATCTTCAATTTTAGACAGTTAATTTCTGAATAATAAAGTGAGGAACCCTTGGCGCCAAAGATTATGACAAATTTCTATTTTGAGTGTGATTTTTTTTTGATTGTCTGAGTTGAGTAAATGTTGTCATAATAATTAATTATGCGCGATGGTTATTCGCTGCAGAAATTTGCCGGCGAGGGTCTACGGACTCTGGTGCTGGCGGAACGTCAGCTGAGCAAGGACTACTACAACGACTGGCGATTGCGACATCAGGAAGCTTCTCTGTCGATGGATTCGCGCGAACAGAAGCTGAATGCCATCTACGAGGAGATTGAGAGCGACATGGATCTGCTGGGTGTGACAGCCATCGAGGATAAACTGCAGGATGGTGTGCCCAAATCGATATCCAATCTGCAGAATGCTGGCATCAAGATCTGGGTGCTAACTGGCGACAAACAGGGTGGATAATCTAGAAAAAAAAACCCAACTAAAGCCATTTCCAATTCATCAGTATTTTACACAACATTCCAGAAACTGCCATCAACATTGGCTACTCCTGCCAGCTGCTAACGGACGAACTGGTGGATGTCTTCATTGTGGATGGTAGCTCGGTGGAGGAGGTGGAGAAGCAACTGCGTCAATTCAAGGAGTCCATCAAGATATTCGATCGCTTTCGGCCGGGCGGTGAGTGCCATCCACATACCATTCATATATAGTATATTCCATTCAAAACTCAATCATTTTGACTTGCAGGCATCGATAATTATAATGGTGAGAGTGGCATGGATCCCTTGAGCGTGACGATGACGCAGACATCCGCCTTTATGCAGGATTCGAACGGTTCAATTATATCACAGCCACCGCCAGCCATATCGGTGGTTACCTTTAGGTGGGATGCGAAAATTAAGGATAATAAGGGCGGACCGGACAGGTAGAGGGCACTCCAAAAGCAACTATTTCCAAAGCTTCTCTCGAGCAAAACCAAAATTCCAAAATCAAAATACAAAAAAAGATCAACTAAATAATTAAGATTCTAGATGCATTGAAGCTAAACTAGAAATGATACCAAAGCGCAGCTAGAAAAACACCCAGTATTTTCCGCTAATTATGAATGTATCTTTCTTTCTCTCTCTCTCTCTCTCTCTCTCTCTCTCTCTCTCTCTCACTATCTCTATCTCTTTATTTTTATTTATGTTGTTTTTTAATCGAATTTTTGTTTTTGACTTACCAATTTACGTTAGCGGCGATTTCTATCGATTCTTAGCAGTATTCGAGACGCTCAGAGCAACATATGTTAGCTAAACATGCATTTATATATTTTATTCAATTATTATTATTATATTTTTGTTTGCTTAGACGTAGCATATTGCTGTGTATTAGCTGAAAGAAAACAAACCCAAACGAATATAGAAAAAACAGATACAAAACCAATCATAATTTAATGAATCTTTTAGTGTTCGCAAGGATGTAACCCTCTATTGGTACTTGTTCCGCACGTCAAGTAAACGAACGAAAATATCATATCAATACTCAAAACTCAACAATTTTGCTTCTGGAACTCGATGATTTTTTTTTATTGATTAAAAACCAAATGCTGTTTCCTAAACAAGTCTGCGCGTTGCTATAATCTAAAATTATAAAATCTTTATAGATCTATGTACATATTCATAGATGAATCGATAACACTTTTGATTCGTACATATATACATATGTATATATATATATATATACATATAAACACGACGTCTCGGCTGGCCATAGACAGGTGTCTGGCATGGTTAGGACACTCCAATTTAAGTACGTTCCACAACAATATATATATAGCAGCTAACAATGGTACATAGACGTGGATGAGGCATTCGTGGTCGTCCGTCTGCCTATGCAGAGTTCAAGGCATCGTGTGGCTCTCGATATACATTTGGGATATATATTTATATATTGGCATTGATTGCTCTTGGAGCGTCTGGGCAGACAGGCGGGCTGTGTGGTCTGTTGATAACGTTCTGCTAGCTAACCAGGAAAACTTCTTGTCACCGTTGGAGATTTAAAACATTTAGTGAAAGATCAAATCCGCATCGGGTGCTCCTTTTTGATGCTTGAACTTGTGCTTGTTGGGCTTCTGATAATAGCTTTGAGTAAAGTTTCGCTGCTGCAGCGGCATCAGAGACTCCTGATAATCCTCCTCCTCGATGCGCTCGGTTATATTCAGCGTCAGTCGCTTGACCTTTTCATTCTCCTCGCGTGTCTTCTGCTCCTGCAGCTTCAGATTGATTGCCAGCTGTGAGCCTGATGGTGCAATAAATGATTTAAACTGCTGCTTGCCACCTTTGTTGCCGCGCACCATCAGCACAAACGGCACAGCGCCACCGATGGCGCAGACGACGCCACCACTACCGTTCTCTGGTGCGAGCACATCTCTGCAGTCAGCGGCAGCAGCATCATTCCCTGTCACTGCCGTGTATGCTGCTGTTGCTGCTGCTGGTAAACTGTTTACAGCATCCTCCGAGGAGGCATTGGCAGAGATACTGGGTGAGGCGGAGGCGGACGCAGAGGCAGTGGCAACGGCAACAGCAGAAGCAGAAGCAGAGACAGAGGCAGCGGGTGCGGCAGGCTTTGAGATCTGTGGCGGATTGCTGCCAATTAGCTGATCGTAGGATTTCTTTTGCAGGCGTGCCGTCATGGGCACGGGTATGTCCTTCGTGATTGCCTTGATTGGCGGCTCCTTGAGACGCTCCTGATACGAGTCACTCGTGATTTTCTCATACATTTGCTCGAACTCGACATCCTCTTTGGATTTCTCTGGCGGGGGCGGTGGCAGTGCTGACTCCGCCTCATATTCAGTCCAATCGTTCAACTGATCCACCTCAGAGCCATCAGTTGCTTGACGTTCGCGATGATTGTTCGACGAACCGGAATCATCTGTTGCCTGTGCAAACAACAAAAAGATGTCAGCCTGACAGCATTCTGATTGATGTGCTTAATTATGCAACTTACGCCATCATCCAATTCGCTGATTTCACTAATAGTGGCCAGATCGCTGGCATCCTGTGTGCTGCTGGCCCTTAGCTGCGGATACAATTGCTCCTGCAGATTATCAATGGCCTCCTTGGCCATCTCCAGACTCTTGTAGGGCTTCAGCTTGGGACGCACGGCGGCCAAACAGTCGCGATATGTGTGATCGACGAGTATGGGAAACAGATCCGAGGTATTCTCCGATTTACTAAACACAGGATGTGATTTTTTGTGCCAATAATAATGCTGAAAGAACACCAGAAAGTAGTCCAGCCTGTGTAAAAAACAATAAGCAAAATGAGTTTAAATTTGAAGTACGATTTGAAAGGCACTTACTTTTTGCGTGTCGCCTGGCTGGTGAAGTAGGGTCCGCAGGTGTCCAGCAGCATGCAGGCAAGCTTAAGACGGAACAGGCTCTCTGGGGGATCCAGGGGCGAGATGACTGCTTGATCTAGTGTCACACCCAGCGATATTATCGAGTATAGCGTATTGAGTATATGTGTGGATTCCACAAGCTTATAGTTATACATCTCGCCCAGATATTTGGCCATTGCGATGCGACGCTGTGACATTTTGGGCGAGTGTATCTCCAAGCCGGCGCGTATATCCTCAAATACATTATCAATGACAATGGTCACTGCACGCGGCTGATACGAGCTGAGGCCGGAGACAAGATCGGCGAGGCAGCGGATGAGGGGAAAGCGTAGCAGATACGCCTTGCTAAGGCACTTGATGGCATAGCCGCTAATCTCCGGATCGTGCCAATTGATGCGCCGCAGCATCTTGATGCAGTGCTCCACATTCTGTTTACACAGTCTCTCAAAGATCAGATGTCTGATATATTCATGCAAAGGTGGACGGGGTGTCACCTCACGCTTGGCGGACTCGGGCGGCTTTACCAAATAGTAGACGCTCTCAATTTGGGCCGCGTGTCGCGAATCCATCACCGTTGCAGTCTTCATGCGCAGCATTTGGTCGAGGAACACATTCATCAGCAGCCGCGAATCGCGGCAATTGTATAGATAAATGCCGCTGACCTCCACAAAGGCACATGCCATCTCGATGTGATGATGGATAAAGTCGCGCAACAGCATTTTCAGGCAGCCGAGTGCATCAAATTTCTTGAACAGACCGAACTTGACCAGCTCACCAATGAAGCGGACAATTTTCAGCTTAGATTCAATGTTTAGCTGGTTCTTCTTGCGTATGTGCCATTTGAACTCCTTGCGCAATAGCTCCGACAGATCGGCGGCAACATCCGTGTTGCACATGTGCACAATCGCCACAAATCGCGACAGATATGGCAATATATCGAGTCGTGTCCGCTGCACACTGAATATCGTCCGGGTTAGCTTCCTTCGTTGATTCTTTGTATTGTAATTGAGCAGAAACTCAATGGCCGCCGAGTCGATGAGCTCCTTGTTGACGCAGTTGAACAAATTCAGCAGGAACACATCAAATTGCTGTCGCATCTGTGACTGCTGTGGCTGCGGCTGCGGCTGCGCCTGTGATTGCGACTGTGGTTGCGACTGTGACTGTGACTGCGACTGCGACTGAGATTGGGACTGTGACTGTGGCTGCGACTGCGTCTGCGATTGCTGTGGAAAAGAGACGGCAATAAATGAGAAGTGCTGGTATACTTTGTATAACTATATTATTTGCCACATTCGACCGACCAAAGAGGCACAAGTGCTAGTCTCCCATTTGATATATATTTATTAAATGCAGCAAATTGTTAGCTCCGACTATTTTATAGATGTGACCAGCACTAATTTCTATTGTGGTATTTATTTATTACAAATTTGACCTTAAAGTTGTGCCTCTTTGCTGCAATCGTTTTATATATAGTCGAGTGGGAATATTAATTATATATATTTACCGTTTGAGTTTGTTGCTGCTGCTGCTGTTGTTGTTGTTGCTGCTGCTGCTGCTGACGGCCGAGCTCCATGAGAGCGTTGCCCATTTTCTTATCGCTAGCCGGAACCGGAGCCGGTGCAGCAGCAGCTGGTGAAGCAGCACCATTGGTTGTAAGTGGAATAGATGGTTCGCCAGTGGCTGGGACTGTGGACTGTGCCGCCAGCGAGGGCTGCTGTTCTTCCTGCTCCTTGTCGAGGGTATCGCTGGCAGCCGATGGCGGGTCGTCCATGTCGAGCTCCGCATCGATGTTGGCATCGATGGCCTCCTCGGTTAGTTCGCTGGGCTCCTCGAGTGTCTCCAGGTCGACTTTAGGTGCCGAAAAGTTGGGCAAAAATTGTCGCAAATCGGGCAAATCGGTGTAAAAGGCACGCGTCTCCTCATCGCCCCACGGATCCAAGGTGCCAAAGGTGGCGCCGTCCAGCATGTTGTCGATAACGGTGCCCGGATTACAGCACTCAGACTCCTTGGTCAATTCGGGCAACGGTTCCCCCAGCAGCTCCGACAGCGATTGTGCCGATGCCAGCAACTTATCGAAGCTCGCCTGCATCAGTTCACATTTCTCGCGCTTCTCTTGGCTAATCTCGCCCTTGCACTCCATGGTGCGGCGTATGTTTTTCGTCATGTTCATGAGGATCGTCTGCTCGGAGAGGACGTGCTTGCACAGCGCCTTGAAGTAGCCCTTGAGCATGGTGCGCAAATTGAGCTGCTTGTCGGCGCCAAGGAAATCCGATTTGGGAACCTCCACATTATATTTGTCGGCCAACTGTTGCTTCCTCTGCGGCACAAGGCCGGCATATTCCTCGCCACAGTGCCGACAAAAGGACAATATAATTGAGAAATTGCTATGATCATCCTTATCCTGGGCAATTAGCTGCACAAGCACCACACCCAGCTGCGCCAATCCCGGCTTCATCTGAATGACACCCGAGCTGACCAGTTCGGCAAACAGACGCAAATCGACGCGCAATTTACTCGGATTGCTTATCTTCTCGGTGGCCTTCACATTCAACGCCTTCTGCCACGCTTCCAGGAAATGGGCATCAAAGTCGGCGTAGGTGCAGTGCAGCTTGGATGCCAATGTGACCACAGCTGGCACATCTGTCATCTTCAGCTTCGCTTCGGCCAGCGCTGCGCATATTTCCGAAATATATTTACTCAGATTCAAGGCGGACAATTCGCGCAGCAGTCCGTCCAATTGCGTGGCCGTAAACAGCTTCAGTTTCTTCACAAATGCCGTATTCTTCTTCAGATTCGAGTCGAGACGGGCAAAATATTTGTCGCCGGGCAGCTCGAAGTTGGCATTCTGTTGTCGCAGCTGACGTTTGCTATCGATCTTCTCCTGCAGCTCGCCGATGAACTGCATCAGCTCGGCCCGCTCCTCGGCCTCCTCTACCTCCATCTCACCCTCCGTCACGGCATCCATCTCCATCTCTCCATCCACCACGTCCACCTCCATCACATCGCCAAAGGTGGCGGCAGCATCCAATGTTTCGGCATCCGTCTCGCTGCTGGCGGCGATTGCGCTGCTTGTCGACGCTGCTTCTGCTGTGGTTGTTGTTGTTGTTGTTGCTGTTGCCTCGCTGTTGTTGGCGCTCATGGTGCATCGAATTGGCTGTATTCTAATAATTGGAATATATATCCCGTGCAGTTCAAGCTGTTCAATCAAACAGCTATTCAAATTTCGTCGACTGTCACATTCGTATGTGCTTCTTTGATTTTGTTGCCCTCGCCGTCTTTCTTTCTGCCTGCGTTTCGTTTCGTTTTGATCTGCTTTTGTTTTTCGCGTTAACCGTGTTCGTAGCGCACATCGCACAACTGTGTGTCATATGTACACACACACGCACACTGACATATCTCGTGCCTGACTATCGTGCGTCAAATATCGATTGTCGTGGCACTGATATGTAAGCAGCTTAGGCGATTCTTAAGGTTATAAAAACAATGTAAATTAGTTAACGTTATTTGAAAATAATATTTTGACCATAATACAAAACCGCAAACACAGCCAAACAACCAAGCACTTATCTTTTACTATCATGGCACACAAATGAATCTATCGAAATCACTGCAAGTATATCGATATCCGTACACAGGAATGTGCAGCTAGCGTATGGCGCCGCATTTAAATTGATATTTTGGGAATTATCTGCACCTAACAAATGCAAATGAACATACTCATGTACATATTACGCCCTAATTTCACTCAATGCTTAAGTAGGGCATTGAACTTAAGCCCAATTCACATGCTGTCAATGTCATTGATTTCACAAATTGCAAGACATCAATAGCTATAACAAACAGCCGCTACTAAGTTACCAAAGTTACTCCAGTTAAATCAATAATGTGGTAAATAGCCAATGCGGAAAGCCATTCGAATCGAATGCAATCAGTTGTGGAATGCCAGTGCCAGCCTGCAGTTGCCTTTATTGAACATTTGCAAATGCTCTGCTGGGCAACCGAAGATAGTTTAACCAGACACCGCAATCCGAATCCACAGAAGGCGCCCGAAACTCTCAAGAATCTTCTATTGCGGTCAAGTGTGCCCATCGTGAGTCCAACACAAGACACATTGGATACAATGGCACCACTTAAAGGTCAAGAGATCACCGAATTTCAAAAGCACTCATATCTTGAAAATCGTAAATTCGATCATCGTTTGGTCAAGGACAATCTGCTGGACAAATGGCCCACTGCGGATGCGAACGAATACAAAGAGCGCAAGGATCATCGCAATCTCATGGAATCATATGTATCCATCTATCATCCAACATAAATGATAATACGCAGCACTAGTCACTATCATTTTATACTATCGATCTCCCTAGTAGGCTATGCCTTAAGCTCGAATCCCAAATATAATTCCTCACATAGTTTTAATAACAACTCCGCACAGTTAACATCGTGTACAAAATTTTCTTTTTCTCTGTGTTTTATATATGCATATATATATATTTTTTTCTTCTGTAGTTGAACTAAATTCCAAGTGGTAAAAATTTTGCAGTAAATCATATAGTGTAGTAGTTTAGCACGCATCATGTCTGTCCAGCACAAAGCAATCAGTTCGTTGCCCACACAGAGCGTCATGTACTCCCAATTGCAGCCATGGAGCCATGCGGGTGCGCCGCCCTGCATGGAGCCAATCAGCGGAGCGACGGTGCCGCCACGCCTGGGTGCCTCCTACGAAACAACGCAACGCCATCCCTGGCGACCCAAGATGGCCTTTGAGATGATCGAGGTCAAGCATCTGCCGGAGCAGCCGGTGACCAATCAGATGACCCAGCCATGCTTTGTCCCCCAGGGAATGAAAACGGAGGGCATGATATTCCCAAATCTTGTCACCGGATTCGAGCGCAATCCTCAGCATGCCGCTCGAGCTGCTCTCTACACGCGATACACAAACAACGAGTGGCACAACAACAACTTGGGCATCTACGGCGAGTCCAACACAAATCGGTAAGTGATTACCACAAACACACACACATCCATCTCTTTGTTGTCTTTTTGATTTTTGGGCGTAATTTTTCTCGAAATATTAAATCAGTAATTTTGTTTGCAATGGGATAAGTGAGAACAATGGGGTTCTCTCCGAGTGTACATAGGAAATATGTGCATTCCAAGTGCGACATCTTTAGCTATTTAAAATCTTGACCGATTGTTCTTTATTTTGCTTGGTTTGTAGCAATATGTCGGAGCGTATGCGCAATGATGCAGTGCGTCTGATGCGCGAAACAGACGAGACTGCGTCGACGGGTCAACGTGATGCTGGGCGGCGACTGGGTGAGCGCATTACGGACTTGACCTTTTGGCGCAACGAGCTGAATGCAGAGCTGGAGAAGCTTATTGGCGAGATGTCCGATATCAATGAATTGCAGCGGCAGTGTGGCAAGGCCATGTTGGATCTGGAGATACCGCTGCACATTGCACAGGAGTGTCTCTTTCATCGCGAGGCACGCCAGGGCATGGAGAAGGTGCACGACAATGTGGAGAAGGCGTTGCTCCTGGAGATCGATCATTTGCGGCAATCGCGCGACCGTCTCAAGGATCTGCATGAGAAGATCGCCAAGCAGGCGATTGATTGCCGCGGTGCCCAACATTTGCTGGAAATCGATGTAACCCAAAAAGAATCCACCATGGGCATCGACTCGATGTGCCATCGCCTGAACAATCACAGTCGCGGCATCACCTACTACGGTGGTATCGAGAAATACGATCCCACTGTCAGCACACAGGACTCCTGGGCCCTAGCCAGCAGCGAGCATGTCAAACGGTAGGTTTCTATCTATATATACATCTGTAGGGAACCTCATCCGATTGCTGATTTGCTAATTGATGCAGTAGTTCGGAAATTTGTTGGGTTGTATATTTTTTGACTTCATCCAATCGGGCTCATTTTCATCTATTGAACTTGCGTTAATTACTGCACACCAATTCCATGGAAACTGGGAAAAGAATTTCAAGGTTAAAAGTTAAATTTTTTCTATACTAAAATATTATTTTAAATTAGTGGAAAATTTACCTGAAAGGTCGAGAAATTCATTATTCAGAAATCTATACAAAAAAAATAATTCAAATTCAGAAATGCTGCATTTTGAAACCCTGTCGAGATTCAGGACAAACTCTACATTGATCCAGCATATTGATGGCATTTTCAGATCGCAGGCGGAGCGTGCTAAATTGTCGCAGCTGCGCAGCGATGCACAGAATGTTGTCAATGCCGTTGCCTCCTCGGTGTGGGACTTCTGGAACAATACGAACAATGCGTTGGATAGACGGGCTCAGGATATGTCCGGAGCCAAAAATCGTGTGCAAATGCATCTGCAAAAGGTTCAGCAGGAGCTGTTCGATATGGAGAAGCATCTGTTTCTGCTGCAAAAGGCCATACAGGATAAGGCGAATCCGCTTAGGGTGGCTCAGACGCGACTCGAAGCGCGTTCCCATCGCGAGGGCATGGAGCTCTGCAAGTAAATCGAGGAAAACATATCATCCAAATGTATCATGCCTGTCTGACCAATGATTTATTCTTTTTAGGGATACGGCTCACGATCGACTTGTGGTTGAGGTGCAGGATTTGCAGGGCACTGTCGATGTGCTACATCACAAGTTGCAACAGGCGGAGGCCACACATCAGTCGCTGCTGAAAACACGTTGCATCCTGGAGGAGGACTTGCGCAACAAGGTCAACGCTTTGTTTATCGATCGTGAGAAATGCATGAGTCTACGGCGCTCTTTCCCCATTACCAACTTGATTCGTTATTGATCAACTTTTCGAATTAATTGTTAATTAAAAAAAATTGTGTCACGTGTCTATGTCGAGTGTAATCATTATGCACAAATATATATCCTGCATTTTATTCGATTGTACTTTGAATAACCCACCAATTTTGCAGAATTGCAGTAAATATCGGTACATAATTTTTGCTTTTGTATATCGATATACGCCACATAAAACGAACAAAATCTGTTGCGCTCAATCATTTCATCATATCGATAGTTTGAACCCTCCGATATCGATATAAAGGTAGTATCGCTCAAAAAGCTTAATACTTCGCCGCCATCGATATATTGGCATATCAACAAAATTGATAGCAAGTGCCCTTCTTTGTTCTCAGGTAATTAATAATTTCTTAACCTATTTTAAAATGCATAGTTTGTCAGTTTAAACTGCAGTAACTACAAGGAACTACAAATCATTCGCCAGTTAAACAACACGTAAACATTTCTAAATGAATATGACACAAGTGCTGTTAAAAAAATCATCTTTGTTTTAGTTTTGCCGGCAACGAAATAAACTATCCACATATAAATTTAAGCATGGCTTAAAGCATTTAAGTTATATCATAGCGATAGCGAAAGTTGTGTTTGCGCTTACTTTTATCATTTTGATTCTTATTTCTCTTTGCTGCTGGAGTTGTTGTAAATCTGTTGCCGGCTCCAACGAAAACGGAACTTCTGACGTGTTCCATTTAATCGCTGATTCGTCTGCTATCAGCTCCAAATGACACCAACACACATGGATTAGAAATATGCGTTAATAGAATTTTTGTATATTTTAGTTGAACACCCAAAACAGTTACCGTTCCAATATATAACATCAGAAAATACACACATACATAAAGGATAGCTACGTCTGGCGAGGAGCTGGGCGGACAGACAGTGAAAATGCGTTTCACAATCATTGCTTGCCTCATTATTGGGGTGCTGATCAACTATGCTGCTGGCGTTGATCCAACAAATTTCAAGACATGCGAGCAGAGCAGCTTCTGCAGGTAAGCACACACACATATCTACATAAACATATACATATATATAAAAACAATGGACAAAATGCCGGTTGACTTTTAAATTGCATACCAATACATATATATGTGTGTGTGTATGTAGGAAAGTTTATCAAGAGAAAATACCTTACTTGTACAGCTAAAATCAGTGCGTTTACTAAGCTTATACGGAGCAGGCTAAATTTAAAAATCTGATTCAAAATCGCGAATAATTACAGTTTCTTTATTTTACATTTATTAAATACAAGATTTCATGGTTAGTATTATTGCACTTTCTTGGTAAATGCTTATTATTGGCGAAGTTCACAGGGCAGTCATAAATGCTATATTAAAAACCATCAGATTACACACAATCTCACTAAGATTTATGTTCTCTTGTGCCCATACAAAATATCTATATATAACAACTGAATAAATGCAAAAATATTTAAACTTTTAGACGTTCGCGGAAGGTGCAAAGCACGGGCAGCAAATATGCCATCATACGTGGCACAGTGAATACGTACTCGGACTCGCTGACCGCTGATTTGATCAACAAGGAGAATCATCATCAGTTCACATTGAAGCTGGAGGCGCTGGTCGGCAGCACGTTCCGTTTGCAAATTGATGAAAAGCAACCGCTGCGGCCGCGCTATCGTGTTGAGCATGCGCTCAAGGATGAACCAAAGACGACACGAATACGCGTCCAGGAGTCGGATGAGCTTTCGATTACGGTTGGCACTTCCAAGGCTGTCATCCATGGCGATCCATTTCGCATTGATTTCTATGAGAACGATGTGCTCGTCGTGGCGGTGAATGCCAAAAATTGGCTATACTTTGAGCATCTGCGCCAGAAGGCAAAAGCGCCCGCTGAACCAGCGGATGGTGGAGACGATGCCCAGCAGCAGCAGCAGGAGAATGCCGAGGCAGCACAGCCCGCGGGTGAAACGGTTGATGATCCAGGCGCATGGGAGGAGAATTTTAAATCGCATCACGATTCTAAGCCCAATGGACCCGAGGCAGTTGCTCTTGATTTCTCATTTCCAGCCACTGAAGTGCTATTTGGCATACCCGAGCATGCCGATAGCTTCGCGTTGAAATCAACTTCCGGCACGGAGCCCTATCGCCTCTACAATTTGGATGTATTTGAGTACATACTGGACAGTAAGATGGCCCTCTATGGCTCTGTGCCAGTGATCTATGGTCATGGGTAAGTCGTATACAATGGTTGTGTTGAATAATAATACTAATACAATCACTTCAATTGCAGACCCGAACGCACTGCCGGCGTCTACTGGCAGAATGCCGCCGAGACCTGGGTGGACATCTATACGGCCGAGACGAATGTGGTGTCCTCGCTGGTTAATTTTGTGTCTGGATCGCGAAAATCGACGCCGCCGTCGGCACACTTTATATCCGAGTCGGGCATTGTGGATGCATTCATAATGCTCGGACCCAAGCCAATGGATGTGTTTAAGCAATATGCAGCGCTGACCGGGACACACCCACTGCCGCAGTTGTTCTCGCTGGGGTATCATCAGTGCCGCTGGAACTACAACGATGAGCGCGATGTGACCTCCGTTTCGGCCAAGTTCGATGAGTATAATATACCCATGGATACCATGTGGCTGGACATTGAGTATACGAATGGCAAACGCTACTTCACCTGGGACAAATTCAAGTTCCCCGAACCACTGACAATGATCAAGAATCTCACCGAACTCGGCCGCCATTTGGTGATCATTATTGATCCGCATATTAAGCGCGATACTTCCTACTTCTTTCACAACGATTGCACCGAAAATGGTTACTATGTGAAGACGCGTGAGGGCAATGACTATGAGGGCTGGTGCTGGCCCGGTCCCGCCAGCTATCCAGACTTCTTCAATCCGGTTGTCCGCGACTATTATGCTAGCCAATATCAGTTGTCCAAGTTCAACACGGTTACCGAGGATGTCATGTTATGGAACGATATGAACGAGCCGTCTGTATTCAATGGACCCGAAGTTACTGCAGCCAAAGATCTAGTACACTATGGCAACTGGGAGCATCGCGATGTGCACAATCTGTACGGCCATATGAATATCATGGGCACCTTCGAAGGCCTCCAGCAACGTGATCCCAATCAGCGTCCATTCATATTGACGCGTGCCCATTTCGCTGGATCGCAACGTTATGCGGCTATTTGGACGGGTGATAATATGGCGGAGTGGGCGCATTTGCAATATTCGATTAAGATGTGCCTGACGGAGGCCGTTGCCGGTTTCTCCTTCTGTGGCGCCGATGTCGCCGGTTTCTTTGGCAATCCGGATAGCGAGCTTGTCGAGCGCTGGTATCAGACCGGTGCATTTTTACCCTTCTTCCGTGCTCATGCCCATATCGATACCAAGCGCCGCGAGCCGTGGCTCTTCTCCGAGCGCACACGCGAGATCATCAAGGAAGCGGTGAAGATACGCTATAGTTATCTGCCGCTGTGGTACACAAGCTTCTATGAGCTGGAGAAGACGGGTGCGCCGGTAATTCGGCCAATGTTGACCCACTATCCATTGGACAAGGAGACGTTCAGCATTGACAATCAGCTGCTGGTGCAACAGCGTCTGCTCGTCCGTCCCGTCATGCAGCAGGGCGTTAGCAAAGTGGATGTCTATTTCCCGGCCGTTGACGACAAGAAGAATGGCGACTATTGGTACGATGTGGAAACGTTTCAGCGACAAGAACGTACCGGCTACGAGAGCATACCAGTTAACGAGCATAAGGTGAGTCCACATTATCAGCTGTTCACTTGTCACATTTAACCAGCAGTCGCAAATTTACATTTCCTTTAGATACCCGTTTGGCAGCGTGGCGGCAGCATTGTGCCAAAGAAGGAGCGTCCGCGTCGTGCCTCGACGCTTATGCTCAACGATCCGTACACATTGGTCATTTGCCTGGATCGTCAGGGCAAGGCCGCTGGCACCCTTTATCTGGACGATGAGAAATCTTATGCGTATCGGGACGGCAAACACATCCATGTGAACTATGAGTTTGCCGAGAATCAGCTGACCAATCGTTTCATTGGCAAGCCAAATTACAAGTCCGACGCCTGGCTCGAGCGCATTATAATCGCTGGGCTGGAACGTGTGCCCAGCAGTGCCACCATTACGGTGAATGGCATCTCCCAGCAACTGGAGGTGGAGCAACGTAATGGGGCTGTTGTTGTGCGCAAACCGTCCATCAAAATGGATGTTGACTTCGCTGTGAAGCTAAACGCTTAGTTCTGGTATTAATCGAAATTATCGTGCTTGAAACCTGGCCAGCACTTAGGATTCAATTTTATCCTCTCTTTTTTTTCTCTATCTTTCTTTTAATTCCATGTATGCTCCTAGTTGTTAGTTAAGCGTTTTATATGATTGCGAGTCCACTGTGGATATTCGTTGCGTACAGCCAAAGGCGAATCTAAATTCCAATAAATAAATTATTTCTATGCGAGTTTAGTCATTGACTAGCCCAACTCAGCAGCTGTCTTGGTCAACCTTTGAAAAATCGTATTTGTTATTGTTACTGGCGGTATATGGCTATATGGAAAACTAGCTGCCTAAGTTCAAAATACCTTGAACAGCTTTACAATTGAAATTCTCTAGCTTAAAACATGCTCAAAAATAATATAATATAATAATATTTTTGTAGAAGAACAGTTAATTGTGAACTTGGTTAGTGTGATCTGGAAAAAATATCCCTAGGCTGCCTATTGGAAGGTACTCTAAGTGGTATAAGCGCTAGTTTTGTTTGCAAGATTCTTGTATATGATATTTGTTAAATTTAATCCAATCTTCGAAATAATTCAATCTCGATTCTGAAGAACAAACCAAAGATAAACATATAGCTGATTAACATCAATAGCCGACTGCGCATAATCATATCCGACTGCCCATCTGACCGCCTGTCCGTCTATTCCCATTCAAACTAGTCATAAAGTAATCATTGAAACTATCGGTCAAAAGATAAACTCTACTCATTAAGGGATAAGTCAAAGCATTTCACAAACATAACTTTGTAAAAATTCAATCCCATGGTTTGGCTTTTAGACTAATGTATTCTTATTTTACTTTAATTAAACTTTTGTGTATTGTTTTCCAGAAAAATCCCACAAACTCAGGCAAAGTAAAAATTAAAGCTTCCTGAGGAACAATTGTCTGCTGCCTAAGATTTTTTAATTTGTTTTTTTTTTAACATTTTTAATTTAAAATATACAATAGATTTTTGAGAAATTATGCTTCTAGTTTGTATACTCAAATCTGCTGGCAAAACGAAGCTTTCGAATATATCATTAGAATAATTAACATTTGCATTTTCTGTGGTAAGTCGAACATTTCAAACACCGGCAAACTAATTCATTAGGCGTCTGCCCAAAACAACCCAACTCACAAAAAAAAGAAAACATATTTAAAATGTGAGAAAATGGAAAAAAAATATTCTGAGCCGTAAAATCAAATGTAAACCGCGAACGGACCTCGGCGTTGATTGTCCTTGATGAATGATGGGCTGGCGAAGTGATGAACTGGCTCTGAATGATGCCTCGACTCAAAACGAGGGTGGTGCCGGTGCCGTTGTCATTGCTTTGGATGGTGGTGGTATTGATGATGATGATGGTGGTGGTGGTGCTGCTGCTGCTAAAAGCATTTAGTAAAACTGGAAGAAACAAAGTTTAAAATCTAAACGGGAGGCACATTGCAATTTATATGCAAACAAACAAATAAGCCCGGGCAAGCCAACAACAGCAAGGACGACAACAACAACAACAACAAAAATAGCGACAACAACAACAATAACAATACGAACAACGAATACGAACCAACTAACTAACCAACCAACCACCCAGATCCAACCGTAGCGTTGATGCCACCCGAGCCCATTGTGGCTTTCTCTCTCTGTCTCATTTTGACTGCTGCCGACTGCTGCATGTCCTCAATTCCCATTCCCAATCCTCTTGTCCTTCATCGCCTCCGCATCCCGCTTTCTCCTCCTCTATCGCCATATTCGTTCGTTCGTTGAACATTTCAATCAACGCTCGAGTGAAAATTGAAAAAAATAAAGGCAAGGATAATGTGACTGAGCAGGGGGACGGGGGTGGGGGGGGGGGGGGGGCGTAAAAAAATCAGGAGCGGAAGCAGGGCGAGGAGGAGGAGCAAGAGGTAGTCGAGTTGTTCGCTGCGGTTGCGTCTATGGTTCTACGATTTCGAGTGGGTGGTTGGTTGGAGTGGTCTATATGTGTGTGTGTCTCTGTGTGGACGCTACCTAAGCGGAAATGGATGCGCAACACTTAAGTGGCACAAATTGTGTGCCATGTGTGGAGACGTTGGGCGCGCATTCAAACTATCCACAGATTGCGAGATATACTCGTTAACTATAATATACACATGTGCATGATACTGACTGCCAGGATGTGAGGATGCGAGCGTGCAAAGACGTGGCCAGGTGAGGCAGAGAAGTGCCACCAGGCTGCAAATCTGATGTATAATAAAACACAAATTTAGCGGCTTACACAATGCATATCACTATGAGTGAAAATTGACAACGTAGCAGCAGCAATCTAATTGTAAATGTTGGCAACGTTGCAGCAGCAACAGCAGCAGCAGCAGCCAACCAGGTTTAAAGCGTTGTCGTATTAGTCTAATTTAAATGTTGACAACAATGCAAAAAAAAAGTGAAGAAAAATAAGGGAAGTCTGCCAGTTGCAACAGTTTGTCAAGTTAGCAAGTTTGATACTTTCAAGTTTGACAACAATGAGTAAATATTACTTTTTCAAGGTGTTGCAATTTTATCAGTGCGGAGAAGATTTGCAGATTTTGTGAAACATTTTAAATTACTCAGCTTTGAAGTTAGGCAACGTAGCACAGAATGTGACCCAAGCATATTGAATTGATCAAATTAAAATTGAACAGTGCGCAATGAAGTTGGACAACCTGGCACAGCAGTATTAGTAAAGATCCAGTGAAGTTTGGCAACGCTGCGTCAGCAAAGTGTTCAGTGCTGTGCAACATTCCAGCAATGTGGCATTGCAACTAGAAAAGATTTCACTTAGAAATCTAGATGCTGCTGCATTGTGCCACAGTGGGGCACCCCATTGGCAACAGCCGCTGTTACACGATGCGTTCCCCTGCCCCGCCTTCATTGCCATAACAACCGTTAACCGAAAACACATTTAAAATCAGAGCAAACCAAACAAATTTCATAAAAAGAAAAAAGAAGCAGCAGCAGCAAAAAAAATGTATATATGCGACGACCAACAGCAAATCCAAAGTGTAAACATTCACAGCCTTTGTGCGGAGCCACTCTGAGAAATAGGCAAACAAAGTGTGGGGGCGGAAGGGGCGGGGGACAGGGATACTGGCTTAGGAGCAGTTGGGGAACAGTAGACAATGCGGCTCACAGGCAACAGCTTCCTTCCGAGCTGACGCGCTGCGTTGGTTCCTGATCCAGCTCCTGCTACTGCGGCCGCTGCTCCTCTGACGTTTGATGTGCAGCGCAGACAATGAAGTGTGTGTGTGTGTGTGTGTGCGAAAGGTGTGAGGGAATGTGGGAAGGGGATTTAGTGGGGTGGGTGCAAATCGAAAAGGGAACACGGCTTAGTGGGGAAGCGGGGTTTGCAGCTTGGGAATGTATCTCTAACAACGACTGACTGACTGAGTGAGTGACTGACAAACGGCACCAGCTAACACGGTATTTATTTCAAAAAAATATATAAAAAATAACTAAATAAAAGAAGAACAAACAAAAGCAAATAAGAATGCTGTAGTCGCGAGTGCTCGACTACGTGATACTCTTAAACCAATGGTTTGATATTGGCCAATTTATTTTTATAAACTCAACTAGAAGTTATGCAAAGGCTCCTGTTTTCGCACCAGCCATAAATGTATATATGAACAATATAGTGTAAAGATATGTTTACATGTCAAGTTCAAGAACCTTTAAAATTATGACTTTTATTGCTGTCGACTCGGCTGCTGTTGCAGATGCATCCTTCAGCCAGTTGCATGCTTTTGCACATATTCATTATAGCATTTTTAACCGTTTTCAATGTGTTCCGGGTATGAAAAGAAGTAACAAAAATAGGCGAGATGATAGAAAGAAACGTCATGGATGCGGATACGGATGTGGATGCGGATGCGGATGGCACACACATTGCAATTGCTTGGCAACGCCAGCAGCAACAGCACCAGCAGCAGCTGCAACAACGCCGACTGCAATGGGATGTCCTTTGGGGGTGGTGTCGCTAATGAAGTCGCAAACAGGCAGCCGTCGTCGACGCTTTGCTGCTTTGCATATTCATTAAAAAATAAAAACAAAAAAACAATAAAAATGCTGGCTGGGTGGCGGTGCTAGACTATCAATTACCCTGTGTGCCCAATTATCGCAGACACATGTTGCAGAAATATGCATAAACGCACACACTTCGACATGCACTCAGAAAAAATAAAATCTACCTAAAAATGAAACTCACCTCAAAAGTTAGATTGTCTTTAGAGACAATTTATTAATATAAAAAAAAACTTTTCCTAAAAAGAAAGACTTGCCTAAATCCTAAAGTATGTTGTTTTTTCCTCTATTCTTTTACATAATATCGAAAATCATTTCTAAAAAGTAGGAATGCAAACCGTGAAATTCAGAATAGACTTTAGCTGCCATATAGTCACTGGGAAATCATCCAACTCGAAAACGAAGGCTCTCTGTTTGGGTGTGTGTTTTATCAAATTGAGTTAGATGAAATTTATAAAGTGTTTGTATATGTGAAATCTTAAAATACCAATGTTTAATAATAAATATAAGTAAAAAAAAGCTACTATAAGAATTCTTCAATTCTTCTACTTGGTGAGCAGACTTAATTGCCAAAAGCATGGCGCATTTCTAATTCAAATTTTTTTTTTGAGTGTGCGTTTTTAGTAAAATTTTGAAATAACTAAAATTAATGCCATGAATAGACTTCAAAGTGAAATCAGAAACATGCCAATAATATGTTTGACGTTATCACAAATGTGTTTTCGAGGCAAAATGCTTTCGCTACGTCCAAAGGGAAAACGATGAGAAAGTCAGATTCAGTTATTAAATAATAAACATATTTATTTGTATAGAGGCATTGTTCTGGCGTAACGTTGAACATTAGCTTGCCTGATTAACCAAAGAAGCGGCTTCAATTTAGAATCGAATCTATCCAAAGACTGACTGAAGCAAGCACAGTAAATATTTTCTAATTTGACCGATTTGACTCAAGTTTTTACCAATCATAAAACCAGATTATAAAGCTGAATCTTGAAAATTATGGTAATCGATTCTTATCGGTATTGGTTATCGATAAAGTGAAATAAACTTGATCTGCCTAAGTTAGTGAGAGAACTCGAGCCCTTACAATTCTTGAGCAAGTGCTGCACAAAGACGGACATGCGGACAGACATGACTAGATCGAATCGACGGCATATTTTGATCAATTATATATTTCTTGTTTATGTGTACGAAGATGCGTCCTTCTGCCTGTTGCGTACTCGTGC